AAAAAAAAAAAAAAAAAAAAAAAAAAAAAAAAAAAAAAAAAAAGCCGGTGGGTGCGCGCCGGCAGGGAAGCTGCGCGTCGCGGGCGGAGGGAGGGCCCGGCCCGGCCCGGCCCGGCCCGGCCCGGAGGGGCGGGCTCCGTGTGCCGGTGCGAGCGCCAGCATCCCCTGGCTGGCCTGCGGCGGCGCGGATCCGGCGAGCCCCGCTGGAGAGCGAGCTGGCCGGTCGCGGGGAAGGGGGCGCCCTGCGGGAGCAGCCCGCGGGCCCGCCGCCCCCGGCCCGGCCCCGGGTCGCGGGACCCCTCTGCGTCACAGACCTTTGCCCCGCTTCGTCGCTCTGGCCGCTGGTGCCGCGCGGCGCGAAGGGGCCCCTCCGCGGTCCCGCTTGCCTTCGCGCCCGAGCCGCTCCGTGCAGGGCTGAGCTGCCCGCGCAGAAAGCCCTTTGGCCGCAAGCGGCCCGTGAAGCAGCCCGGTGGCCGGGCCGCGTCCTCGCCCGTGCGGCGCTGCGCGTGCTCGCGGGGCGTGGTGGGCTGCCTGGGGGGGAAGGCAGCCCCGCGTTCCTGGTGGGCACGTCATGCTAGCCAGACCGTGGAGCGCTCCTTGGCTTCATTCGTGGTAATCTGAAACAATTTCTTTAAGGTAAAGGCCATGTGGAGTGGTTACCATAAATATCCAATCTTTTTCTTTAATTAAAAAATGCTTTCATCTTAAAACCTGTTCATTTTATTTCCTCCAATGCCATTGTTGCTGATGATTGTGTTTGTCGTAGGTGTAAATTTTGAAACATGAATTTCCTCTATTCAGAGCTGATTCGGCTTGGAGTGGAGCTTAGTTGTGCAAATCGTCTCCCAGCTGACCTTTCTGCAAGGTGTTTTTCAAGTATCTAGAATGGCCAGCAAGAAGGAACCTCCTTTCTTCAACGAGGATAACGTGGGGGCATGTCACTACAGACTTGCTTTCTATGAGACTATGGAGCTCTTCATCGAAACGCTTACAGGAACGTGCTTTGAGCTGCGAGTCTCTCCTTTTGAAACTGTTGTTTCTGTGAAAGCTAAAATCCAGAGGCTAGAAGGTACCCATCCTTTCTGTTTTGCACACTTCAAGATAACATTTCCACTCCTGAAAGGCCAGTTATTGTATAGGGAGTGTGACATTGATTTCCAGCATAATCACTGTCAGCTTAGTAGCTGGATTTTGCTTCTGAGATCTAGATGGATCTTAAAACTGCTCCTAGGGTTCTTTAAATCATATATCTTATCCACTGTAAACTTGAGCACATTTTGTTCGGAATATTGTTAGTAATGCAAACATTAGGACAACATTTTGTATATTTAGCAAAGCTTCCAAACTGGAATATGGTTTTATCCTATTTTAGTTAACTGGCCATTTGAGGTATGATTGATAATTTTTCTGTGTGAGACAGTCAGTAGGTAATCTTCAGTAACCAATTTTATTTCATTGAGAAGACTTCTGAAAAATTCCCCATGATCATTTGGAGTTGCAGGGGTTCGTGTTTGCTCTCGTGCAGTCCATCGTTGATCTCAGGCACCCATTCAGAACCAGAACAGCTGTCTTGGGTTTAGAAGGATGGGGGCATAGTCGAGTGCCACCAGCATAGTGGTGGCACCAAGCCCTCAAATTCCAAACCATCTTCCCAGGTCATTCATGGACATGTTAAATAGCACGGAGGATAAGATGGAACTCTGAGGGATGCCCTAGGCCAGTGGCTGTGGTACTGAATGGGAGCCCCTGCTGCCAGAGAGCTCCCTGCAAGAAGCACCAGAGCCATCGCATGGCAAGCCCACCTCAGTCAGATCTCCCCAAAGGCAACAGTGGTCCGTGGTACGGAAAGCCAGCAAAAGGCCCACTGAATCCACAGAGCTGCTCAGCTCCATTTCTCTGCACAGGTCATTCAGCAGTGCAAGCAGCACTGTGCCTGTCCCAGACCCGACCCTAAAGCCCAATTGAAATCTACCTAGACAGCCTGTCTTCTCATCCAGCTGCCCCTGGAACAGAGAAGCCATCATGCACACCTGCATCTTGCCCCAGAACAGAATATTGGAGGCTGGCCAGAAATTCTTGTACAGGGAAGGTTTGGAAAACCAACAGCAAATGTTTTCTGTGGGCAAGATGAAACCCCACCTGGCGGTAAAGAGGTATTCACTGCTCCCCCCACCCCAAAAAGTTTTGCTAACTTTTATGTTTTACTATATTTTAATGGCATATTTCAAATAAGCTGCTGTAAACTGCCCAGAGAGCTTCGGCTGTTGTGTGGCTTAGAATTTAAATAGCCTTCCCCATTCAGCCAGTTTCTCTCCCTCCCCAGCTGCTGTGAGATACCAGAAAGTGTGTGGGCCAGTGTGACAGGCCCTGCTTCTCAGAGGATTCTGCCCTATCGACACTTTTAGGCTTTTTTCATATTGAAAGGTGCCTGTTAAAAGCCAGCAGCAGGAGCTGGCATCCTATTCAGTGGCCTTGCACCAGGCATGGCATCCGAGGCTGATGGATGGGCAGTTGGGCAGAGTGGGCTGGAGGGTCTTCCACTCCAGCCTGTTTCCAAAGCCACGATTTCTGAGTTGATACGATTAGGACAGCTAACTTAGTAATCTTAGTCAAAACTTTACAGAGCCCATAAGACAGATAAATTAAAATTTATTAAACTGAAATGTAATGATGTTATTTTAAGGTATCCCTGTATCTCAGCAGCACTTGATCTGGAATGACGTGGAGCTGGAGGATTATGACTGTTTAAATGATTACAAGTGAGTATATGTCTATATGGGTGTGGGTGGTGCAGTGGGTTAAGCCACTGAGCACTGTGCTTGTCGGTCGAGAGGCCAGCAGTTCGGATCTGCGATGGAGTGAGCGCTTGTTGCTCCGCTCCAGCTTCTGCCAACCTGGCAGTTCAAAAGCATGCAAAATGCGAGTAAACGAATAGGTGCCACTTCGATGGGAAGGTAGCAGTGTTCTTTGTGCCTCAGCATTCAGTCCTGCTGGCCACGTGGCCACAGAAACTGTCTGCGGACAAATGCTGGCTCCCTCGTCCAGGAAACAGAGATGAGCACCACCACCCAGAGTCAGATATGACTGGACTTCATGTCATGGGGAAACTTTACCTTTTTACTCTGTGTGTGTGTGTCATGGGGAAACTTTACCTTTTTACTCAGAGTGTGTGTGTGTGTGTGTGTGTGTGTGTGAGAGAGAGAGAGAGAGAGAGAGAGAGAGAGAGAGAGAGAGAGAGAGAGAGAGATCGATCGGATGTAGCATCTCTGAATATTGCTTATGCGGAGGGGAAAAGCTACAATATATGTTTGGTTGTTTGCCTGCAGCATTTCGGAAGGTTGCACTTTGAAGTTGATACTGGCCATGCGAGGTGGACCTATTAATATCAGAAGGGGTAGGTGCCGATTACATTTTGCAGAGTTAGTGTAATCCAAGTAAAAATTAGATCCTGCTGATTTGGAAAGAGCAGGCCTGTTGACGAACCCAGCCAGAACGGTTACCTGATTTCACAACAAGTCACCCCAAGTTTATAGGCTGCTATGGCTATTGTGTTGTATGAACCCAGAGTGTGACAAGATTCACATGACACAATAAGCCACCGTGCCTTAGAAGCTGCAGTGGGTTAGCTTGTCATCTAAACATGGGTGGCTGGAGTCCAGGAGAAGGGGAAAAGTCTGGTTTTATCAGGCACAGGTGGGTGCTGCAGGAGAGGGGCTGGGCAGCAGGAGAGTTGGAGCCTGGGAGCAAGAGCAGAGAAAGGATAGACACCTCCCGATTATGTAGCATACCAAGAGAAGAAAAGGTGATGCCATCGTGGTGAGCGACCAGTGGGGAAAAACCTGTGCCTTTGTCTTAATCACAAGAAAGCACTTAAAAATCATTTGAGAATCAGTCTGTCTGGGAATCGCTGGATTAAAGAAAATGCCCTGTGAACGTGTGTTGGAAGTACCACCAGCCGCATATTCACAGGCCCTTTGTTAAGATAGGAAACCCCACCTCCAGCTGGGAATCCAGTGCAGAGCTTTGCGGCATCGTGTCCGGCTGTTTAGTAGAGGCCAGAACCCAGTCACGTGTAAGGTTGTAGGTGGCATTTGATGGTCTCCCAAGGAAGTGTGGGTGGGACTGGTGTGTGCGACCGGTGCTGGAGATGAGCGCTGGATCCTCGCTCATGTCGAGGGTGGACTGCACAGTGGTGCCACTACGGTCTAGTCCCAAGGGTAATTTCTCTGGTCAGCACAATTGCAAAGCTCTTTCCTGGATTATACCATGCTGGGCTGGAGGAGGGAGGGGGCCTCGTGCAGGCCTGCTGCCACCCTGTTCGCAGCAGCACTGAAGCGGCAGCGGGGCCACCCGAGAGCCTGCGCCTCCCACGAGACCAGCTGCCTTCCCGGACCCTCCTGAAGTGGTGTCAGGATTGCCCTTAGGTTGGCTCCCCGGTCTCAAAGTTTTCAGTAAATGTGTCTTTTTAGTTCAGTGTTTAGGCAAAAAAACACTTCCCACTTCCCAGTAGATACCTTCAAACAACAAACATTTCTTGACATCCTCTCCTCTGCAGTTCCTGTGAAGTATCCAATTAGGGAAATAACTGGATGCATGGATCCAAGTCGAGAGGACATCTGGGAAAAGGCTCCATCCAGCAAACAGGTTACCTTTTTGGTATATCGGGAAGGAGACCAGTTGAATTTCTTCCGTGTTGTGGACAGGGGAGATGGAACTTTAACACCACTGTCTGAATCTTTTAGGTATATTGAGTTTTATTTCTTTCAGAAGATTTTTCATCAAAATACATTTGGACTACAACCACAGTTTCCTTTAAACCTAAAAATGTGTAAAAATGATGTTGAAATATCTCAGTGGCTCAGCTTGAGCTAAGACTTGAGTTAAATTAATCAATTCAAACTTTGGCATAATGAAACTGAATTTCTTTGCATATATTCTCATTTTTGCAGTAATAGCTCATAGTCTTGGTTACCAGTTGCTACTTTGTATGCTTTTGGAGCCTTTTTGTCAAATTTTTATTCAAAGCTGTGCATGTCTCACATATATTTTTTAAGTGATATCTTACTCGTCAGTAAAGGTAGAATGTAAAACAGATTTTCACTCTCTCCTTGCCAGTGGTGATTCAGTTTATAGTTTGTATGGTAGTGATGATGAAGATACAGAAGCATCGTCTTCAGGTCAACAGATTATTGAAAACTTCATTACAATGAATAAGATGAAGCTGCTCAAGGCCAAGATGGAAAATATGAACCTCAGCAAAAAGGTGATGCTGTAAACTCTGCTGCCCCATGCAGAATGATTCATATCTTCCCATTTCAGATCGTTTTAAAGGATCTGTCTTAATTTTTGCTTAACTGCAGGAGTTAATAACGGTTGTTCTAAGTGAAGAACCATATGGAGATAAATGACAGATTGGATTGATATGTTAAACATAAAGTTCCTGATCAGAGTGCAATAATTTGTTCTCTATATTGTAGCAGCTGTTGTTGGCCCAATACAAGATAGAACTTTATGTCTAGAATGTGTGTATGTTGCACTTTACAAAACATTTTTATATCCTTTATATATGAAAAATACACAAAGCAGTGTTGTATTCTTTCTGAATATGTTCATTCTGTAGTTATCAGAACTGAATAACTTCAGGCAGAAGTAAATGCTCCAAGTTTTTAGACCGGGTACTGAGTAGCATTTAAATTGGCTTAAAAATTGGCAACCCTTGAATAAGATGCCATTTCCCCCCCATTTTCTCAGCCTAGGAAAGTTGTCGGTGTGAAGCCACGCCCTCCAGCGGGGCCTCGCCCGACCAGTGGCTCGACAGCAGCTCCTCGGCCTAAGTTCTTGCGAGCGTTGCCTCACATTGGGCAGCGCTGCCTTCCTCCTGGAACTGCATGCCCTGCAGAGATGCCCCAGAAGGCCCTTCCACCCTTGGCGGCTGCTGGTGGGAAGACACTGTTCCTCGCGCGTGAGGCACTTAAGGGAAACGGAGCCTGGGCGAGTGCCATGCTGCCCGCAAGGGTTGGCAGCATTGAGCTGCCAACCAGTGAATCGCGCACAGAGCAAGAAGGGGCCGCGCTGCCCACAGACAGTTCGGCTCTTCCAGTCCCAGCCCTTCCTCAACGTGTCGGAAAACATGCAGAATGTGGTGCCTTGACAAAGGAGAGTGACCCTTCATTGTATCTGGATTCCGCAAATGTCAGCCTGCCTGCCACTGAAGAAACATTTCTACCAAACACAGACGCTCTTGCCTTGTTAGCAGAAGCAAACTTCTCCGAGCCGTGCGCTGAATCATGTGGAGCAGGAAAAGTGAATACAGAGCTTCAGTTATCAGAGGGAAATGAGGACTGTGCCACTGCAGAGCAGCCTAGCAAATCCACTCTTAAATTCCTGACTTCGGCAAGAATAGGGGCAAGTATACTTAACTCTCGCGAGTTAAGTCCTCAGAAGAACAGTCGGCTGTCGCCACTTCACTGTTCAGGACAGCGGGCGTCCTGCAGCCCTCACAGACCTCAGACTCAGGCCAAGTGTTTTGAGGTGGGGAACTGGAGGCCTGCTGCCTCGCCAAACATTCTGCAGGCATCGGAGGTCCACAGTTTAGCTGACTCCCCTTATTCAAGGGCTTCTAGATTGCATGGCATTGGCATAGACTCACCTGGCAAAAGACCTGATATCCATTCTAAAGCTGAGGCAAAGGAAAGCACCGAAGTGGCTATCAAGGCATCCAAAGACCCTGCAGTTTCTCTAAATAGTGTTGGGTTGCTAAGTTCATTGACTCGAAGCACGAACAGAGATGGCTTACAGAATCCCTATGGGGCAGGCCGGTTCCAGGCTTCAGGTGTTGCCCTCTCTACAAATCTCCAGCATTTTCAGGAAGATTTTAGAGTATCTTCTGCCCACAAAGATAGGCCTGGGTACTTTCTGGTAAGTATTATTATTATTATTATTATTATTATTATTATTATTATTATTATTATTTCTGTTCTCCCCAATTGCTGCAGCTCTCTGGGTGGAGCTGAGTTGCCCCAGAAGAATTCCATAGTTGATGGTATTCAAAGCTTCCGAGAAGTCCAGGAATACCAACAGTGTCACCCTGTTTCTCTCCTGGCACAAGTTGTCATGCAGGGCAATCAAAGATTTTCTGCATGGCTGAACCCCCACCGAAATGCCCCTGAGCAATCAGTCTCGTTCAAGAGCCATTCCCTGGAGTTGGCTGGCAGCCACATTCTCCAGAACCTTGTCCAGGACAAGAACATTTGCCTAAAGCCAGGGGATGTTGAAGGCAGAAGAGAAAGAGGGAAGCCAACGATAAGATGGATCCATTCCAGAAAGGAAGCCACAGCCTGGAGTTTACCAGAGCCAAGCAGGCTTTCCGGGGACAGAACAGTCATTCACAAGGTGGCCATGAGTCAGAGGCAACTGACAGCACACAGCAGCAGCAAAGTTGCCGAGGTCTTCCAGGTGAAGGAAGGATTGCTGGCGGAGTGGTCGCACTGCCGCCTCTTCCGGGCGGCCGGGGGCCACTCCTCCCCGGAGGCCTTGATCGCTTCCCTGGCCCACCCGATGGTCCTTCCTTCTGGGCTTTATGAGCCAGGACGGACAGGGATCCAGCGCAGAGGTGACTGCACAAGAATGTCCAACCACCTTTCAGCATCCTTGAGCTGCAGCAACCGAACCTTGTCCAGTGCACCTTGGCTGCTCTGTGGAATCTCACCTGATTCCATCACTATTTAGTTCCATGGAGTCACTGCCGGAGAGCTGCAGTGGCCTCCACATTCGCAGTAACCACGATCTTTATTTTATTAGTTGGAGTTTTTAGTATTTTAAAAAGCATTTTTGGTATGCTACTATTTTCATAAATGGTTTTCTATATTTGTTTTATAGTCGTATTTTGTAAACTGAATTGAGGCTTTGCCACAAAAAATGTTACTAAAATGTTTTAAATGAAAAATAAGCCTTATGCTGAGAGAATATCTTCAAGCAGTGGCTCATTATGGATAGGCTTTGGCTTACAATGGGCAGCATGTGCTGTCGAGCAGCTTTCCTCAACTTGGTGCCCCTGGAGGGTTGGGGCACAGGGTTAGTCTCCAGCAGGGCCAGCGGTCAGGAGTGCTGGGAGTCGGGTCCTAAACCTTGGAAGGCACTAGTTTCAGCGAGGCCTCGCAGGCTTTGACTCGGAGTCCTGCCCTGATCAAGCAGCTCGAGCCAGTGACCTTTTGGCCCCTTCAGAGTCTTCTCCGATCCTGCGAAAGAACCGTGGCTGTTTGCATTTCTTTTCCACCCTGTCCCAAGGGTTCAGGCAAGTCCATGTTTTTCTTATCTAAGTTTTAAAAGGGACATGCATAAGGGTTATACTTGTTTTCTCCCTTTCTTTTTTCATTTAGTCTTCTGGGCTTGGATTGACGGGAAATGCTGTGATGGCAGGGAAGAGAATGGGTGAGCAATACATTCAGAGTTTCTCAGGTGCATAGTTCCTATTGCTGTGGAGAGTGGATTAAAGTCTTGTGAAATTCAGCTGCAGCCGGTTCTGCAAAGGGAACAGTGATGAGTGGCATAGCAAGCAGGCCGTGAGTCGTTTGTCAGAAGGCAGATGTGGCAGCACTGTTCCTCCCACGTGCGCACACTGTGTCCAGGTGGGCCCTTGAGTCAGAAACCCCCGGGGGCCTTGCTGGCCCGTCTGGGGGCAAGGGGTGGCCCCGCTCGTGCCTCTTGGGCCGGCGCGCATGCAGTACGGGCAGAGGATTCTGGTGCCCACAGGCCCACCTGCAGTTGGTGATTTGGCTTCCTGGAAGTGAGATTTTGGGGTGCTTGTTCAGCTCGTCACAATGCTGCATTTTTTTTACCCTGGAAAACCCAATTATTTCCTAGGATACAGTGGGAAATGTATTTGTGGCTGCTTGCTGGGAAAGGTTGGAGAGGGCCGGCTGCCCGTATTACGCTTGCATGGAAAATAATTTGCTTGTGCTGCAGACGACTCCCGGTCATCCGGATGCTTCATCACAGGGCTGGGACAGGTCCCGTGTGGCGTGCGCTCGCTCGCTCGCGTGCTCCCGCTGTGGCGGCAGGCAGGCAGAGCAGAGGCTGCAGCTCAGTGACTGGAGCGCACGTGCTAGGTGGAGGGAGGGAGGCCTTGGTCCAGCAGAGTCCTTGGAAGAGGGGTTTCTGATCCAGAGCGCAACGGCCCACGGACCCTCGGGGGAAACGACAGGCAGATTCCTCTGCCAGCTGGGCCTGCACAGTGGCCCTTGTCAGTGCAGAACCATGACCTCCACTGCCCCCTCCCAAACTTGGGGGAGTTTAAGCACATGATCGAAACTTTTCACCAGCTGTTCAGAAATCTCTGCCCAAGCAAGGCTGCGAGAACTCTGGGGACCTGCTGGGTTGCTCCCCTAGACCCAGGGACTCCTCTCCTTTGCGGTAAATTGTTACGCACCTGAAACTGAGGTCCCTTTGCCTCTCCTTAAGCTTGTCTTCAGTGAGTGCTTTACTAATTCAAATGTGCTTGAAACCATGAACAGCAGGAATTAGCAATTACCTTCTTCCCACGCTGCTGCCTGTGTGCTGACAAACTTCTTGTTACCTTGATTTTTCCCCCCTGGGCCTGGGACACTTTGTTGCTAGGCCTTGGCAAGCAGAAGACAGTGTTGATCCAAAACAGGGAGGCAGCCTTTATCTTGTCCTTGTGATGGGTGGAGTGGGGAGAAGGGCCTCGGAGCTACTGCTCCCGCTCAGCACATTCAGAGCTCTGCCTGGGTCCAGCACCCAACCAGATGGGGCACTGCACACTGTGGAAGCAGCTGCCTTTTACTCTGTGGCCAGTGAATTTGAAAGCCACGGCATCCTGATGTGCCTAGGCAGGAAGAAAGCCTGGGAGTGCCTGGGGCACAGCGGGAGCCTTTCTGCCTGGTGGCGCCTCATCTTTATACCTCGAGTCTGACAGCGTTATTGCAATTGAGACATTTTGCATAAAACGTCTAAGTAGCAGGCGCCATCTACGCAAGTTATTAATTGTAATTAAAGACTTGAAGAAGATGCTGTTTCTGCAAAAGGGACATTCACATACCATGAGCATCAACACACGTCATGCAGCTTGTCTCCCAAAGCTGGGACATCGTGATCGTGAAGGGCTGGGTCCTGCTTGCCTGGCCCCCACAGCAAGCTCCTGGCCCTGGCAGAACAGAGCAGGTCTTGTAGTGTGTGCCTGAGATGCAGGGTCTTGCTGCCCCCCCCCCCCCATCACTGGCAAAGGTGGTTCTCCGTTGCACAGGCTCCACGGGGCAGGAGACCTCAGGAAGGCAGGCCGTTTGCCAGGGCTGACTGTCCTGGGCACCAAATACGGGAGCACATTGGCTCTCCCACTAGGGAAGACTGTAGCCGGAGGAGGCGGAAGCAGGCGCAGGGTGAGGGTAGATGCCACCAGCCAGTCGTCCCCCGCCATGTTTCTAGGCATGCTCAGTGCAGTGCATGATGAGGAGGATGGCATGGCTTATTGCGCTGTTCTGATTCTTGCCACCCCGCTTTGCCTTCACAGTCATGTGATTATTTGTGCAATGTGAGTTTTTGCTGGAACAGGAGAATGGGTTCTGAGGGTTTCCCCAGTACTTGTACTTGTGATTCCTGGGCCTCAGTTTCCCCTTCCTGTGATGTGGGCTGTTGGCGGCTGGGGACGCGGGAGACCCGTCTGCTTCCGAAGAGGCTCTGGATCCTGGCTCTGCTGGGGTCTCCCTCTGGCCCACCAGCTACCAGATAGCGCTAATGAGGTGGCGGGACACCTGCTTAACCAGAGGTCAAAGGGGGCAACTCGGGGTCCTTGCAGTGCTGTTCCCACTCAGCCTCGCCCCTCCCACGGGGTGCAGCTGGGCAGGCCGCCTTAGGCTCCTCGCAAGAGGAGGAGGAGGGGCGCCGCGAGGAGCTGCCCAGCCCAGCGCAGGAGGAGCCACCGCCGGCCTTAAACCTGTGAGCCGCCTGTCTTTTGTGGAGAGGTCGCCTCAAGACTCCTGTCCTCCTCCTCTGCTGCTTTCCTGTAATTGAGAATGTCTGTGTTTTCAAAGGTGATGCAGCTCATCTCCCGCCTGTCAATGGTTCAGTTCACACTAAAAAGAAAATTGTAAAGCATTGCTTCTTTTGTGGAAAGAAAACTGGATTAGCAACTAGCTACGAATGTAGGTAGGTGGAGTTTGCATCTTAAAACAAGTTTAACATCAAGCAGAAGCGTCACCAAGCAACGGGAAGAGATTACTGAACAAAACCCCAGATGCAGGCTGGGGATGCTGCCCCTGCCCCCCCCCTCGTTTGGTGGACCCTAAATCAAGGGGCAGGGCACCAGGAAGGCCTGTGGCACCTCCTGCCGCTCCCCAAGCCGGTGCCCTCTTCGTTATCCTCCTCTTTGGTTACCTGCATTGCAGCACGTCATGTGCAAACGGGCTCAGAAGGTTGCTGGATGAAAACAGAGTACCTCCAATTAAACTTCCGGCTGGTGGGTTCCAGTCAGTGATGTGTGTAGCCAGGCTGGGTTGCCGCCATGCACTTTTTGCCGATCTCACGCAGGGCAGCTTTGGTAATTTTAGAAGGAGCTGCCTAACATTCACTTTCTGCCTTCAGATGTGGAAACAACTTCTGTGCAACTCACCGCTATGCGGAGACGCACATCTGTACCTACGACTACAAGAGTGTGGGGAGGAGATGCTTGCAGGAGTCCAACCCTGTTGTCAGCGCACCAAAGCTGCCCAAGATCTAAATCCGGCTGCGGGGCCAGCACACCCTCCCACGCCCCCCTGTTGCGCTGCGGGAAGGAACAGTGCGCTGGCCTCCTGCTTTTGCTGCTCCAAATCTGAAGATTGCTGAGAGAAGCTGCACAATGTGGAAGAATAATGGGAGCGCTACTGACATCTTTTATTCTTTCATGGATCAAAAAAAGTAGTTTTTGAAAATGTACATTTCGATTTAACTGTTACTATATATCTTGTGTTAAGTGTTTTATATTTGAAAACCTCTTTCACTAGACAAGTCTTTTAAAAGATGCACTTTACCAAGTTTTAATATATATTTTTTAATGAGGAGCTCATGTCATCTCGCCTGTATCCTACCTGGCTTTTGTCCACTCTGGGATATCTTGTTTGTGCGCAGCGTTCTGCATCACGCAGGGCCAGCCCCTTCAGGGTCCAGCGAGCTTCATCTGCGCACCCAGCTGCACTTAGATTGCTACTCATTCAGATTGTCATCAGTGTTGCATTCTGGTCTGGAAGTACCGTATCATGTTAAGCCCAGTCATTCTTACCGGGTTGTTTTTGGGGGTTGGGGGGTTGCTTTTTTTATACGAAAGAGTCTCATTAAAAAGAAGCAAATTATTTCCCCTTCTGTATTTTTATCTTTTTCAACTTTGCAATGCATGCCAAACATCTCAGAAAAAGAATCCGTGCTGCAGCTGTTATACAGGATGCTGGCAGTGGGGCAGCGGTCGAAAGGGCGGGTGCCAGTGGGGGCATGTGTGGCTCGCCAGTGGCAGCAGGTCTCCGCCTGCCCGCCCGCCCCACAGCAGCTGCTCCGGCCCCCGAACATGCCGTGCTGCTCGCCGGGAGCCCCGGCCTGCCTCTGCAGTGCTGCCAGGCTGGGGGCAGAGCGGGGCATCATCCCGGAGAGTGGGGGGGCAGATCCTGGCTCAGGCACGAGGGCTGGGGCGTGAGGACACTGGGCAAGTGCTTGAAATGGGCAGGGGTCGTGGTGCAGCCCAGCCTAGTAGCTGCCGATGTAAGCAACAAATGGGGCTGGGGCGATGTTGGCTCACCCCTTCAACCGCTAGGCAATGCTACCCGCGTATCATCAGCTATCTGCCTAGAACAGCATCCGTGCACCAGCATCTCTCTCCCCTAATTGGAGAGGTATTGCATATCCACTCCACCCGGCCCAAAGGCTGACATTTTTCTCCATCGGCACCAATCATACGAAGACCTTTGCATTAAGGATCTCCTCCCAGCAGAGTGGCCTGGCCTTTCAAAGCCAGCCGAATGCAAGGCTGAGCCAGTTGAGTCCTAATGGTGTCTTTTATAACTTCCCTGTTATGGTTTCTTGTGACTTTTAACGTATTTACATTGCATCGCACTGAAAAGCAAGGTGAAGTCATAGGTGAACTGTTGAGCAAATTTTTACAAGAATATATTTTATACAATTTGAAATAATGCAGCAAAGCTAGATAGTTTGTAAATGCAGCAAAACTGAAGAGCTAAAGGGATTCTGAAAAATCTACTTGGGAAAATTTAGCATGCAATCTTTCTTCCATATTTATAGTTACTCTAAAAAGTAACACCCTATAGTGCAGGTGAGTCTCCTTTCTTTTGAACCTCAGTCATTAACCTTTCCACAAACAGATTGGAAAGTAAGGCTTAATGGTGAACAGAATGAAAATCAGCTACTGTAACATAATGAAGAATTTGATTTTTAAAAATCTGCACAGGAGTATTTCTGAGGCAACTCCAGGACTGAAGGTGCATTGATGGCACTTATCCAGGAAATGGAAATGTCTTGAGTGACAGTTTTGTCTAACTTAAGATCGCAAGATACAAGCGGTGGTTCCCATTCTCATAGCCTCGTTCGCTGTTCTTTTCTGAGCCACTTCTTGGGACATCAGACTTTGCTGAAGCATCTTAAATTGTCGCTGTCGACTTTCTTCCAACTTCATCCAGTGATCCTCTTGCTGGGATTTCTGTGCAAGCAAAATAAAGAATATTCCAATACTAATGAGAAGGCATCTGGCAAGGTAATGCTATGATTCCCACCTCGTTCACCACCATAGCAGGGCAGAGCAAGAAATGACCTGGTACCGTGAGGTATGTGGGGAGATTTGGAAAGTAGAAGAGGGAAATTGCTCTTCAGGCACCCCACTCCCACCACTCGGCCTTCTGGAGCATGTCTGCCTGCCATTTTTAAAAAGGGTGGGCTGCAGGCATCTTTCCAATAAGGTCTTGTTTGATCCTCAATCTGAGGATACGTAGTCGGTCTGCATGTTCAGTGCACCAAATGTGTTCCTGCAGAAAGGTGAGATGGGGTAAAGCGGATGGAGTTCTGAGGTCTTCTTAGCTCATGTTCTGCCCCTCTTGAATCTTGGGACTTTCACTGATGAAATGCATTTGGAAAACCAATTTTGTCATATGTTTACAAGTGATGGAAATATTTTCAACACAAAAATTCTTACAGCCCTAAATTCAGAACAGAGGGATGCACTTAAAATCATTCTGGACTGTAGCCAGATGCAGTAACTAGTGTTATCTTTTCTTACTTTTGTTGACTTCCAAGCTCTCTCTGATGCGTCACTGAACTTTGGGGATGTCGTTTTTAAAAACTCATTTTGCTTTTTACGCGCCGTGGATTTTTCCACAACTTTTTTCTGTAGCTCTAGAACGCGTTCATCCTTCAAAATGCTTTCATGATACGGAGCTTTAATTTTCTTTTCCTCCTGTCTGCAAAGCCAAAAGGAAAACAAAAATGCAATTAGGTGGACAAGTCGCATTGCGATTTCAGTTTAAAGCACAAGCGCCAGGAGGCGGTGCCAGCCACCCCCTCGCATGCTGCCACCCGTGGCTCGGCTGCCCTGCGGCTGTTGTAGTGGGCCTCTCCCTGCCGAGGAGCGCACAAGCACTGGACTGTCTGGACAGACGCTTCCATGCGCTCGGACTTTGCCAAGGGCGGCTGCGGGCCACACGGAGGCAGCCCGGCTCTTGGCAGCTGCAGAAAAGCGGCGGCTGCCGATCAAGCGGGTGGCTGTGCGAACCTGCCTCGCTCCTGGCATCCCCTCCACAGGCACCGTAAATCTCCGTTCAGGAAAAGGCAAAAACCAGGGCAAAAGCAGCAATATCCCGGGGCACATCGGCTGCAGATTTAACAGAGAACATCAGAATGCACTGATGCTTCCTGCAGTGCCCATTTCACAAATCTCTGAGCGCGACTAAAAAACATGAATGTTCACCGAATGTCTGACCTTTGTGTTAAAATACAGGCTTTTCCTACACATAATTTGAGGAACAAGTATTTGCTTCACTTCCGGAGGCACACTGACCACCGTATTCGGTCCTCGCCATCCCTACACTTCAAACTAACTTCAGTGCGGCGGCTCGTCCGAGCTGTTCCCTGAACGCAGCGATCTGCTCCAATTTCCCCAGCAGAAGCTGCTCCTTGGTGAGCTTCTCGTGGATGATGAGATCCCGCCTCTCCTCTTCTGCCTTCTTCTGAGATTCCTTCAGCAAGGCCAGGCGTTCTTGCAGCTCCACTATTGACATCTCGCCCAAAACACCGTGGTTAGGGGACTTTGGGAAAGAGAGACCATTACAAAAATACTGCAAATGTTGGTGTGCTGTACTTTAGCCCAGAGGTGGGCGACACCCTCCCATGGGTGGCATGTGGGCCCTGTTGTGGCAGCTGTGGCCTCCTCACCCAACGGCGGCTGCCCCCATACCCCGCTTATGGCTGTGGCGTCCCCGATGGAATACCAGCTAGTTCAGCAGTTTTTGTGTGACCACAACTCAGAAATTGCAACTGCAGGTTGCAAGAGGCTGCTGAAAATGGTGCATGGGTAAGAATGCAGAAGAGCAGGAGAGGAATTAAATTAGGTTTTATTTCTGCCTGAGATCCAGCTGTCACTCTGATGCAACAGGATGCGGTGGAGAGCCTGCCGGGTTAGGGCATGGGGTGTCCAACGCTCCTTCAACTATGAAGGTCACTGAATGCCCCCAGGAGGGGAGCCGCCTCTCCTTTTAGCCTGTCTCACGCGGGAAATTCGCATGCACCAGACAATCAGGGTGCCCACACAACCAACAAGAACACCCAGAGCTTTCTGCAATATTTTTCTTCACGTGCTCACCTGGGTTAAGTCAACAAATGTGTTCTTCAGGAATGGCACATACTCAATAGCTCTTATCTGCTGGATCAATTCACATCTCTTTTTGAACTTCTCCTCTTCTTCGTTTAGAGCCTGTAGCAGCAGCTCCTTGCTTTCTTCAGATACTTCCTGAACTGTGGCAGGACAGAAGGTAAGTGCAGTCATTCATGGGTGGAGAGGAGCAACAGTGAATTGCCCCAAAGGCAGAAATTCAGTTTTCCACACAGAGGACGTTTGGTCGTAGATGTACCACGATCTGCCTTGATACTTTGGCGGTTAGGAGACACGGACTCATAGAAGAGTGGAGTTGGAGGGGACCAGAAGGCCATCAGGCCCAACCCCCTGCAGTCGTAGGACACAATTTGCACAATCCCACTCGGATGGCTGTCCGGGTGCTTCCTGAATGTCTCTTGTGTGAGAGAACCTCCCAGGCAGTTGGTTCCACAGCTGTGTTGCTCTGACCGCGAGGAAGCGTTCCCTGATCTCTAGCCTGAACCTGGGTTGCCGCAGCTTGACTTGGTTATTCCGTGTCCTGCACTCTGGTGTCAGCAAGACGAGATCGGGACCTTCCATTTTGTGGCAGCCTTTCAGGTGCTCCTAGAGGGATATCCTGCCCCCCCGCCCAGGGCTTCTCCTCTCAGGGCGGAACATGCCCAGAGCACGGCCCGTCCCCCTCAGCCCGGCGCAAATCCGTGCTTTCTTTTTCTATCTCCCTCCGCACGAGTCCTCTTAAGAATCCCACAAGCAAAGCAAAGCTTTCCTTCTCGGCACCTACAGACTTTCAGAACCCCTGCAGGGCCATACCTATTTGGCGCTTGCCTTTCTGCAGTTTTGTTTGTGCCTGCTTCCCATTTTTGCGCCCTTCTATCACCTGCTGCACCAGTCTTTTCCTTTCCTTCCTTTCTTGATCGTGTCTTTCTGCACAGTGACGACTCATCTCCTCTTTCTAAAATTACAAGTCAATGAGATTGACAGAAAAAGGTACGGGTTACAGGTGGAAATCAGAGAAAATTTGTAAACAAAGTCACAAGTTTCCTCCGATTCCGCTGCAGTCCTGCTTTGCACTGTCTGCACTCACTTTCACCAGGAGCTGTTTCGGTTTGCTGCTGCTTTCTGCCGATATGACGGCATCATCTGCATGTCTTCTACCAGCGATGCATCTTTCCATGATTTTCATGCCTTCACTGACTCCAATCCCACCTTCCTGACGCGCACACAGACTGAACGGATGGGGAGAGGAAACGCCCCAGTCTGGCACCTTTGCCTATGGGAAGCCCTTCTGTTCCGCCATTGTCTGTCCTCTGTGCCTTGGCCGCCTCCCATGCCCACGTGGCACCGCCATGCCCCATAAGCCCCACCGTCCTCTGAGCGAGTACCTCCTTTCGCTCCTGCGCGGCTTTCTTCTGGTTTTCCTGCATGCAGTTCTGATGGGACAGAATGGCTTCTTCATAGCTCAGCTTTCCTTGCAGCCTCCGGCATGCTGCTTCCGTCAGCTGCTGGTCCAAATCTTTCCCACGCATTTGCTTCTGCCATTCCAGAAATTCAGATGGATCCCGCGCGCCTCGTAAAAGACGTTCAATTCTGCAAGGAAAGAGAATGGAAAAGCCTCAGGTCACCTGGCCGGTGGTGTGGGACTCGGTGGTGTGGGACTCAGTGGTCCAGGGGGCCGTATGAAGAACACCCCTCGACTGACATGCTCCTTAAGCAGCATTATTGTGCTGTCCATATATTTAAAATTCTTAAAAAGTGAAAACTATATGTCAGAACTGCCTGAATAAACTACATTTCAGTTTTTTATTTATTTTTGGGCAGTTTCACTACTCTATTTACTTCATTTTTAAACTTGCATGCCACCCACTAATCCCAGAGGATTCTCCTGGTGGGATCAATCCTTTCATGAATATGTGGGAAAAAAAAGACAGGCCAGCGGGCAGATGGTGGGCCGCGGTGGCAGCCGAGTCCCATCGTGTCCAACACAGGCACCCCCGGATGACGGGCAAAACCACGCAGTGGCTGCACAGCGAGTACCTGTCGAGTTCCTGCTCCTCTTTGCGCTGGTAAAGGACTCCTTCTCTTAGGATTGCTGCTGCGTTCAGTTTAACAGGCAGGCTGTCCACCTGCAAGGGAACCAGGCACAGAGGCATTGACAGAAGTAGCACAGAGCCCTGGAATAAATTAAATGCAGTGACCGCATTCTTGGGAACTCTTCAAGGCAACGATTTGTGCTTCAACCAGTCATCTTCCGCTGACGTTTCACGACAGGATGGGCTGCTCCGCCCTTGAGTGCACTCTCCCTGCATGAGGGCCAAAGCTCTGCTTCCCCCGGCCACCAGTCAGGAAGAAGACCCAGGTTCCTGGAGCGGGGGCCACCTCCTTCAGGAAGACCAGCAGACGCGAACAAGGCGCTTTGGGCCACGTGGGTCTGTGAAGTGCCTCAGGAATGCTTTGTTGTAACCCCGGCAAATATTTTGTTCGTAACGAACGTGGGGGGCCACATGCAAATCCAGCAGCGTTCACTTATATACTTTTGTACTAAATCCAAGCCTGCCCGGTCGAACATCAAGGCCTACCAAAATCAAAGTGGCTGCTCACCTTTCCTTTGATCTTCTGAGCCTGGAATCTTTTTCCTTTGTCTGGAATTTCACTTTTGATCTAAAAGGCACACAATTATTGCAGCATTACACTACAAATTATTCAATTCAGAAAAGAGAACATGTGTTTAAAGCACATAATTAGACTATACTTAAAGAAATAAATTGGTAAGTGCAAACAGCAGGAACAAAAGAACAGAAGAAAAGTCCTCATGGACCAGATGAGTGGTCCACCTGGCCCTGTCTTCCGTGCACACGGTGGCAAAGCGGCTGCCCGGAGGATGCCAGAGCAGGCCGGGTGTGCAAGACACCCCCAGGTACCTGAGCACATGCGAGGGAGAAGGGGAAGTGCCGCTCCAGCACATCCCCCTCCGGCTGGGCCACTCTGACTGCTGATCATACGCGTGCACACGCTCCCAGGGACCTGTCAGTGAGAGGACTGCTCCTGAAGCCCTCGCTCGACATAGATGGTCACTCTTCATGCACAAATGGCTGCCCTCATTTCTTGTCTCTGGTTTTACTTACGAGGCTTTTATGGTCAGGCTTTGGGGCTGCACAACTGAATAGGTTAATATTTGCTTCCAGCAGCAGTTCCTGAAATTAGCAGAATAATTTTAGTAACTTGATACATTACAATACATTTTCTGGTATGCAGAAAAGAAAGACTACTATTCAATGCAGTAGGCATGTCATAAGCGGAGCTGGGGGTCAGACTAGATGACCCGGGAGGCCTCTTCTGACTCGCTGTTTCTATGTTTCTAATGTAAACTACATAATTGTCACCTTTCCCTTAGACAACAGCAACAAAGTGTTAACTGCCGCATGCACCTCTTTAGGATTCCAGAGACTCCATTTAATTTTCTTGCCCAGTTTCCCTTCCCTTCCCAATTAGGCCATTAAACAAAACTGGTTACAAAACTTGCCTCCGCTCTCCGTCGATTCTTCAGCTTGAGTCCTTCCAGGCGCTGCTTCAGTCTTGGAGATCTGTAGGTGTTTTCAGGAACCTAAGTGCGCGCGCGCGCGCGCGCACACACACACACACACACAAATTTAAAGTTAAGGGATATGGATAAAAACAGACTTGGATGAATAGCCTGAATGTCGTGCACGTCAACAGTTCAACAAGAGCACAAGAAATGCCCTCCGCTGTTTCCCAAAGGCCCAAACTGCTCAACAGTCCCCCTGTCACCCTCCGGAAATGCTGCCCAGGAAGCGAAGCTGATCCAGCCGGCCCATCTGCCCCTGCCTTGCCTGTCCCATCAGTGTCTGGGCCGCTTCCCTACTTCTCCCACACACAGTCCAGGTGCAATCCCATCATTGCAAGGAAACACAACTATAATCCACCAAGGTTTATGCCATAATAAAAGTGTTCTTTTATACAGTCACAAGAATCTTCATTGATTAACATGTGGGTAATTTTCTTTACAGAAAACTGTTACTAAAGGCTTACAAGGTTATTCAGATAACTGGGCTTTTCATATCCCTAATTTTCAAAAACTAAAACAAAATGTTTCCTTTAATGCATGCTTTCACAGATTCCAAATTTCTTCTAGATTCAGAGAATTCCCATAATTAGGAAAGTTTTTTTAACAGAACAGAACTCACGGGTTTCACTTTCTCCTGTTGCAGCACCAGCTCAGGAATCAGAATCGCTCGTGGATTTGGGACTGTCAGGTGGAACTCCTTCGGCTCAGTTTTCTTTGACGTTCTAGTGGAAAGTTTCTCTTGTTTGTCATCAAGTAGGTCAACCAGTTCTTGCACTTTTGGCTGCCACCTTCAAACAAAAATATGTAACTATTTGACTTTCGGGTTCCATCGCACATCGCAGAGGTGGGCTCCACCTTCCGCGAAGGGTGCCCCATTCTTTCCCCGGTACCCCCCACCCTTCAGAGCTGCTGCTACATCTCCACCTCGCCTTCCTTCTTCTTTCAGGAAACCCAAGGCAGCCACAAGGTTTTCTGCCTCTCCATTTTATCCACACAACAACAACCCTGTTAGGTAGGTTGGGCTCAGAGTCAGTGACTGACCCAAAGTCCCTGAGCGAGCTTTGTGGCTGCGGGGGGGGGGGGGGGTGGCTGGACCAGGATCTTCGAGACCCAGTTCAACATGGGAACTACAGTGCTGGTGAAAGAGGAAAGATGGTGCTCTTTGCAGGCGGCTGCAGAAACTGCGACTGCTTCTGGTCAGCCTTCCATGAGCTCCGCTCACAAACAGGTAAGACAGGGACGGGAGGGGAAGTGGCAGGAGAGGCTGCCTGCCCCCCAGACCCAGAAAGCTCCCCGTAAACCTGGGCCCTGAGAACCAGGACGGCTCCCCCGTCGGTCCAGCTGCCACGGGAGGCGAGGGCGAGGGAGGAGCAGGAGGGGTCGGCCTCCCGCCAGCCACTCCGACAGTGAGTCCACATCCTGGATCTGTAGTCACGACTGAAGTGGGCCATTAACTGGTGAAAACTTTCCTTCTATAAAAGCAAATCCCAAACAGATCGATGCAGTTGCGAACATGAAGGATTGTCCTGTAAATACTTGGCAGAATCCCCGCGGCAGGTGAGCCGCAAAACAAACAAACAAACCTGAAGTTTTTAGATGCAAGAAAGATGACTGGACAGGCACTCATTCCACAGAGTGTGGAATATGCTCCCCGGAGAGGTTCGCCTGGTGCCAAGCCTATATTCTTTTCGGCGCCAGGTTAAAACCATTTTATTCAAATGCCATTTTAAGAATTAACATTTTTAGATTTTCAAATTTAAGTCACATTTTATTTTATTTTATTTTATTTACTTTATTAATTTATCCATTGTTCTTTATTTATTTATGTCATGATTGTTATTTATTCTCTTTTGTTTATTATTGGTCTAATGTTATTCCATTAATAATGAGTGTATTTATCATGATCTATTTATTGCTATTTATTATATTATGGATTGCATTTTTATTGTTTGATTTTATATTCTGTAAGCTGTCTTGAGACGTTTGTGAAAAGATGGGATAAAAATGTTTTCTTAAATTCATTTAGCACAGAAAAGCTGTAATCCTCACTGGCCTAACGAGGCCTCACTTCTGAGGAAGCAAATATAGGGCAGGACTGGTGTTCACTTACCTTTGCAATGGTTCAATCCACTTCTGATTTACATGATCAGAATCATATATCTGGCTCCATTCATCTTTTATCCATGTGCGTAAATTTATGACGTTAAAAAAGAACCTAAGAAACTAAAAAGAATGCACTTGTTAGTGAAAGGAGCTACACCCAGAAAAAGCCCAGCAGTTCCTTAAGCAATACAAAACTTGCTTGTATAATCATAAATTTATGATTTTATAATTGTATCGAATATAGAAGCATTCCTATGTGCATTGGAATTACTGGGTATCCTCAATTTAAGGAGGATCCAGCCCTGGAACGGCATTCAGAAGCCCTCTGCTTCCGAGGCACGGCCACAGAGGCAGTGGAGGGCAGGAAATTAAACCGATTCTTCCCTCGCCCTGCAGCTTCCTGAAAGATGGGAGCAACTTGGCTCCACGGCACTGCAGGCAAGGAGGATCTTGCAAGGGTTGGAAATCACGAGTCGAAAGCGAGCCAACAACGTGAAGTGGGTGCAAAAGAGCAAGTGCTCTTTTGGGCTGCGTTAGCAGAGGCACAGCTGCCAGGTGACAGGAGGAGCTGGCCCCTCTTCGTTCAGCACTAACGAGGCCCCATCTCAAGTACTATGTCTAGTTCTGGGCCCCGCACTTCCAGAAAAATGCAGACTGAGCAGAAAATTTCAGAGAAGGGCAATAAAGATGAGCAGGGGATTAGAAACAAAGCCCTGTGAGGAGCGACTGAGGAAATGCACAGGTTTGGGCCGGGAAAGGGGAGACGGAGGGGAGCCATGAGAGCATCTCGAAAGGCCTCGCACAGAGGTCCAGCTGCAGGACTTCCTGGCTGCCAGAATGTACGACGGTGGGACCAAGGCCGAGCGGGGTGGCAGCCTCTCCCACTCCAGAGGTATTGCAGAGGCGTTGTTGTTGTTGTTGCGACAGACTAACACAGCTGATGTCTGGGGAAAGTCTTGTGGCACATAGGGACTAACATCTATAGAAAAGCTGTGTTTCTTTCGATACAACAATGTTGTGTACACAGTTCCTCTTCTAACCAAGTCACTTTTGTGGCTGGCTGTCTAGTTGATGACAAAAATGCAATAGTTTTGAAGAGCACCTAGTTTTTAATGGTCACATGCTACTTAAAATATGCTCTAATATATGTTAGATTACAAGAGTACTGGGTTGCTTGTTTAATGTGCAAAATCACTATTGTTTTTATTTATTTATTTATTCAATTTATATGCTGTCTCACTAGCCATAGCCTGTCTGGGTGGTTTATGATGCATTAATTACCTTACAAATCTTGGCAACGTCCATTGATTTGACCATTCTGCTGAATTGCTGAAGCCCAAGTTCTTCCAGTTGAAAAGTGGCCAAATAACAAACAACTATTGAAAGACAAATACAATACTGTTATGGAGGCCACAAAGATTGCAGTGAATTAATAGTTATATTTTGGGATTCAACAGTAAAACTTAAAAGAATCACTCTAAAACGGGCATTTATTACAATCTATCCAATTAGATAAATCAAGAATCTGTGTTAATAATTGTAGCTGCATCGTCGCCTTCTTTGAGCATGATGTCTTCCAAGCTTCAAGGTATCCCTTAACTGAGAAGCCAAGGCAGAAACATTCCAGCTCCAGCTATCAGGCGAGACCAGCCAAAGGCCTTTGTAACGCCTTTCCTTGAGTTCTGCAGGGAGGAAGGTCCCCTGATTAGCACAACGATTTGGGGTGCTGGTCAAGCCACACAGACCGATCAAAAGGGGGCACCAGCAGCTGTTTGGCAGGGGGGCTGCGGGCTCCTGTTGGGCAGGGAGAAGGTGGGCCGGGGTCACACACAGTCGATTTTTGTTCCATTCCATCAGCCAGACATTTCTGTCTGTGCAACAGTCAATTGACTGCTAATATTCCCAACATACTGAATACCATGGACAAAGTTGTTCTAGTCAAATTATATATTTAAATACCTACCGATATAGAGGTTACGCTCAGACAGCAGGCAGTGCTTTCCGTCTCGAATATAAAATGCGTCCACCACCACATCCATCAAAGGTTTATATTCCACACAGCCAGACAAAACTGTCATCAGAAAGCTTTCGTCTGCGACTTTAGAAGCCTGCGGAGATTGAAATTATGTAAAGCTCGGATGGAATGAACCAGCTCGGCCAGCCGGGGTCACACGACGGCATGCAGGGGGCTCAGGCCAGAGCGCCCCGGGGCCGCGCGCCTCCGGAGGCCGAGGCCGAGGCCGAGGCCGCCGCGGGACTGCGGTTTAACGTGGCCGAGCGGCAGGGCCGGCTCCGCAGCAGGCGGGGCCCGCGGCCCGCGCCGGCGCGCCGGGGAGGCCCCTTCCTCCGGGCGCGTTCCGCCGCGCGCGGGCGAAGGGCGAGGGGGCGCCCGGGCGCGGCTC